GTCATACTGGACCATGGTGAGGAAAAACAAAAGAAAAACTTGTGGACTAAAGTGAAGGTGTAGAAAAGTTCATCATTCATTGCTATTTTGTATTTCCCCCCACAAACAAGACTCTGTACAGAATGCAAGTAAGACTGTCAGGTAAAAAACATTCTAACATGCAGCCGAACTTCACTTTGACTTTACCTTTGAAATTGCCTCTTTATGCATCATAATGTAGAGCCTTCCAAGAGCTTTCCTATCATAAATTGGGGAGGGTTGTGACTGAGCCATTTAATGAATCAGTCACTCAGAGAAGCAACTGTTTTGGGTATGTTCCATGTTACAGGATGAGGCAATTCATGTGAAATTCTGCCCCACTTTTTAGAAAAAACAAATTAACAATCTTTTCCCCTGTCTCAAATAATTCTAGGAAACTTACTTTATACATTCTTACCCTCCTAAATAACTAGAATGTAAGAGGTTCCTAATTCATGACCATAACAAATGTTTAGGATGCAGGTACCAATATTCAAATCCAATCTTTCCTTCTCTTTTCTTTATTCCCTCCTTCTCCCACTTGATTCTTCCTTACCATAGCCCATAAGACCCCTCTTATTCTAAAAAACCATTTGATCACCCCAAGTTCTAGGAATTTCATGGGACAGAACCTTCTTCATACCATAGGCCAAAAGGCCCCACTGAGGCATTTTCCTTTGTACCAATAAGTCATAAGACCTGGAACATTTTAGACACTTAGTAAATATTGCCTGATGGACACAGTTCATAACTACGGCAAAAAAAAAAAAATGTGATGTAACCAGCTGTGTGACCTTGGGCAAGTCACTTAACCCAAATTGCCTTTCAAAAAAAAATACGATGTAAAGTAAATATTTTCATAGTTGCATGAAGCTTGAATTCCTTCATTTAAACTAAGTAGAAGAGTGGACCTTTATAAGAAATATGTAGGAGCTATGGATACATAGAGAACATGAGGGCATTCACAAATGAAGGGAAACACATGAGTGACCAAGACACATATAGAGGGATAATTCAAACTTTTGATACAGCAAGCTGCCATTGCTTTCTGCTGGTGTCATTATATGGGTCCATGCCAGGCCTGTTCCCTGCCAATCATTTATATGATCATCCATTACATAAATCCATCCAGGCTTGCTCTGAGCCTGGGACAAGCCTGGATCTTGTAGATCCTTATTAGACATCTACCAGGTAAGCCTGGGTCACTCTCATTTAATTGTACTAAGAAGGTAGCAAAGCTCCCTTCTTTGGACAATTACCCTGTGACACAAAGCATTCTGTCTGTGCTCACCACATATCAGGCCTTTCCTTTCATCTGTCTTTTTCATATGTGTACTGTCTCCCCTTAGAGGATGAACAAAATTCAGAAGATCCAGTAGATGTACCAGAACCAAATGACTCCCAGCAAGATGATCAGAACCCTGGCCAGCAACAAAGTGATAAGAAGAAACCTGGACCTCCAGGTGGACAGCAAGGAGGTCCTCCAGGTGGACAGCAAGGAGGTCCTCCAGGTGGACAGCAAGGAGGTCCTCCAGG